TAGCAATGGGTGCTCCAAATGTTGACACCCAGGTTTCAGTTCCTTGCAACTAGAGGAAAGGAATACAGTCAACTTAGGAGACAGATGTCCCACTTACTCCCTTAACAGTAATTAAAACAAACTCTATAGTATAGCAGGGCTTTGTGAGATCCAACAAGTCAAGGCTCAATTCTGAGGAGACTTTAGGACTCAGAGAAGTGAAAGTTCTGGGATTTCTTTGAGAAAACCTGAGGTCTAGGCCCAGCTGAGTGATCAAGATCCATCGCTGGGCTCCTTTGTGAGCAGGGCCATGAAGAGATAATTGTCAAAACACTGTACCACTGAACAAATGTATGAGGTCATTGTCACATGTGCCACTTAGCCAGGGTCTCCATTTTGTCATGGAAGCCAGAAGGGCATTGACATTGCCGAATCTTAGTGGGTGGCTGTACAGTGCTCAGCCTCACTCAGGGACAGGGTGGCCGGGGCCCCCATTGCTTGCCGCTTTTGACTTTGGACCTGTCTTTACAGTGCGAGACATCCCTGGATGGAGAAGCAGGTCTCTGCTGGTGTGTCTATCCGTGGAGTGGGAAGAAGATCCCTGGATCTTTGGAGATCAGAGGGGACCCCAACTGCCACCAGTATTTCAATGTACAAAACTGAAGACTTCCACACATGTCCTCTCGCACAAAATATTTAAGTGTATAGTATATTTATACTCTGGAGCACACCTTTTTATATATGTGTATATGTATATATCCAGGAACTACTTTTTATACTGCTTGATATATAAAGTTGGTTCTTATTTATTCACTGTAAGTTTATGTTTTTCTACACAGTTATATTAATTTATATGTCATGACGCACTTCTCATCACCATATATGTAAATACCATGTTTCAGCTATTCCGAACTCCATTCTTCTGTTTTGAAAGGGCAGAGTGATATTGCCAGAACAGGCACAAGTCAGTCTGAGGTGGGGAGTTTCCCAGTGGGTCTGAGGAGGGGAAGTTAGCTATGACCTTCTCTCTGCAGCCCCACATCTGTGTCTGATGCCCATTTGTCGGGGAAAGTTAAGATGCTGATTATGTGAACAAAGCTAAATGTGGAAACCTGCATCCGGTGCATTCTTAAACGCATATCTGGAATAAATATTCTACCTGGAAATACTGTTGTCCCTGTGGAGTGTCCTCTTCATCTCCCCTCCCCCCCCCAGCCATCTCTTTATCTTTTGCCCTCCCCTGACTTTGGGGTTACATAGTGTGACAGATGGTGTTGGGATCTCGTGGCCCCATTTCCAGGCAGCATCAGGCCTCTGTCTGGGCCACACTAGAGATCGCTACCCTCTCAGCCCATCTCTCTTTCTCCCCACAGCCCCCAGCCTCACCCTTCCTCAACACTCTTCAACTTATGAATAGACAAGCAGTCATTGGCTTCTTGTGCTTTTGAGACAGGGTCTTACTCTGTAACCCAGGCTGGTCTCGAAGTCACAGCAATTCCTCTGTCACAGGCTTCCAAGTTCCCGGGGCCACCATGTCCAGCTCTTGGATTGCTTTTGTTCTCTAGCCTCCTCACCCTCTCAGAGTTGCCATCCACCTCTGCCAGCATCACATGGCCCTTTCCTTCTAGTTTCCAGGCCAGAGCCCAGGCCATGGCTGTCTTCTCTAGCTCCTCCATTGCCTGTTCCTCAAAACTGACCCAGGACGCTTGTCAGACACTGTCTTGCCTGATGTTTGCCCTTCACCTGCCGACTGTTCCTGCTTCCCCATCTTTCCATAGCTTATCCCAGATTATTCTACTCAGGCTGCCTCCAGCCCTGCCTACTGAGGCCTCTCCACTGCCTCTACTCCAGGGAACCAGGCATCTCCCATTTCCCTATGTGTGTAAGGTCACTGGGTGACCTTTAGGATGGATGATGGCTAACCTCTCAGAAGGGTGGAGGATAGCCAAGGAGAAGGCAGAGGGTCACAGGAGTTTCGAGCTGGGAGGTTGGGAGAAGAGGCAGATGAGGAGAAAAAGCAGGCGGACTTAAGTCCTTGAAGGGCTTAGGAGAGCATTAAAAGAGGACTTGCTCAAAGGTATTATTTACTCTCCACAGAACTAGACCAGTGGGTTACAGACATCTATGACCTATTTAACTACCTGTCATGTGTTTCTTTAGCTCTTTATCTTTTAGATGGCAAATGAACTCAGGGCCTCATACTAGTAAGGCAGGTGCTCTGCCACCAAGCCATCTCCTCCGCTATACCCATTTGTCACTTATCATCTCACTGTACAGTACCTAGCAACACTTAACTCTCCAGTAATCTATTTGTCTGACTTTGATCTGTCAATCAATCCATTCACCTACCTATCAGTGGAGCTTTATTGTGAAGAATGGATTCATGTGCAATGGAGGCTGAGAAGCCCCAGCATCTACCACAGGAAAGCTGGTAGTGTGACCCACCTGAGGCTAAAGACCTCAACCCAGGGGACTTGGTGGTGGAATTTTCACTTTAAGGGCCAGAGAAGATAAAATGTTCCAGATAGGAAGGAAGAATGGTTTGAATCCCTGCCTCCTTTTGTTTTATTCAGACTCTGAGCAGATAGTACAAAGCACAGCTAATGTGTGGGGTGGTGGTGGGAGGTGTTGGGGAGTCATCTCATCTGGAGGTACCTCACAGACACCCCTGAAATGTTAACTTTGTACACACCGTGGCCTGGCCGGAGTTGATATGAAGACCTGACCGTCACAAGCATGGACGGTGAAAGGGTCAGAGGTGAAAGGTGAGTTCAAGGGAGTGGGTGAATGGGTGGCTCCAGGGAGGTTAGTCCAGTGGGTTCATGAATCACCACGTGGCTCACACCCCTGCAATGGCACCAAATGGCCTGCCAAGTTTCTGTCCTGGATTCCTAGGGGCTCAAATGTGAGGGTGATGGGTGCACTCTGGATCTGGCTTCAGGGCACTTGGTGGCCAGTGTATGCTGTCGCTCCACCCCAAGTGACTTCAGTGCATGCTCTCTGTCTTTGAAGCACCAGCAGTCCAGCACTCCAAGGGTGCTGCCTCTGATTTTCCTGGTTCCCACCCCATTGTCATACTGTACACCCCCAGGTCTCCTAACACCCACAGAACCAATTCACTGTTTGCTGTGGCCAACTCTGTGATTCTGCGATCACTTCAGATGCCTGTTGACTGACTTTACACGTGACCCTAAACAGGCGATCACTGCATGTGGTCTGATGTCATAGTCCCAGGGTGTACTTGGAATTTTTTTGGCAAGGACAGCTGTGCCAAAGCCATAGAGAGGGACTGAGGTACCAGGAGCCCTCCCAGCATCCTTTGGGGGTTCTCCTCATTTTCTGGACTCAGTTCATTTCCCTTCTCCAAGCACCCAGTTTCAGAACGGCTAGTGACTCATAGGATGTGCCCATGTTATTGTTCACATCAGCTGCCTGGAGAAGCTGCTCTGAAGACCCCAGACTCAAGCTGCAGAGACAAGGACCAGACTGTCATGGAGATAACCTACTTTACCTGTCTAGACACAACCCCCTGGACCTAGATATCCCTCTACATGTGGCCTGATGCCAAAGAAGGTCACAGCGGCTGTCCCATTGAGATTCCTTTGTTAGAGATGGACTCTGTTATGTTTTGTCATGTCCATGACATTTTCTACTATGTCTAGAAGCTCCCACCCTCTCAGAATGCTCTCTCCAGTGACTCACAACACAGAAGCAAACAAAAGGGCATTTTTTTTAATGATAAAAACTTTATTTACTATTTATAAATACATTGCAAGACAAACTTTTCAAAAATACATTTTTCCCCCAAAAATTAAAAAAATAAAGAAAAGCTGATAGGCAGGCAAAATGTCTTGAGATTCCTTTGTGCCCTCAAGACAAGCTCTGTACAGCACATGTCCACCCCGTGGGATGCAGTGCAGTCTCCTCCCACCCTCAGTTGCCAGACCTCCTTGGCCTTGGCGAGAGCAGCCCAGCCTCCAGACACGGGCTCCTATCCTGGGGCGTGCCTGTGGTTACATCACCTAACATCTCTAACATTTCACCTAGGATTATCTAGTACAGAGTCTATTATACTCGGGCTATGCCATATACACTGTTAACAATTATGAATGTACTTTGTCTGTATATAATCATGAATTATAAAGAAAGTCTGAGAAGGACCCCAAGATCAACCAATGGGTGATTCTCTAGGTGGTCTTGCCAGCTATATTCATCAAGTCATTTCTCCTTCCTGCCTAGACAGGGAGGAGAGACGAAAATAAACCTTTTGGATTTTTTTTTTTCCTTTTAAAAAATGCTTGCCCCCACCCCACAATAAACTTTGAGAAGTTGGACAAGAAAACACTGTTTTTGAAATCATCCAAAGAACTATGTACCATTATCTGTGACATCTCTGAACCTGAGGTTGAAGCTCACTGCTCCTCCCTCCCACCTGGGGCCATCTGCTGGCCCCAGCCATCAGGAAGCTGCCTGACAACGGAAGGTCCTCGTCCTTGTTTTTATGGGCTCCCAGAGTGCCTTTGAGCATTCTTGGTCATTTTAAATAAGAGAGGCTTCACCTCTTCTCTCCCACGGCTCACAAGTAGACCAGGTCACTTGGAGATACTGGGCCAGGCCTTTGATTCAGAGATGACACTGTAAGGGCCATGCGCCTCAGGAGTGTGTGTCCAGATGTCCTGGTGACTTGGTTAGGGTTTTCCCCATTCTCCATAGAGCCTGCCCTCATTTACAGGGAGGATTTTTCTATATCAGCAACGGAACCTCTGAAGTCAAGAAGGCAGAGGGCAGCAGCTTTGGAGCCTCGCACTGGGTGGGTGGGTTAGAGGGGAGAGGGCATCTGTGGCCTGGATCACATGATTGTTTTCATAGGAAGCAAGAGGAAAATTCAAACTGCTTTCTGTTGACTACTGGAGAGTAGAAAGATGATCAAGTTTACTATTTAAACGACCAGAGGCATTTTGAAAATCTGTCTAAACTTTGTTTTTTTTTTTTGTTTGTTTGTTTTTAATCAGTTCACCACCAAAAAAAAAAAAAAAAAAAAAAAAAAAAAAAAAAAGGAAATATAAGTCAAGGCTGTAGCCAGCTGCTGATCACGTTGTTGGCATCTTTTGTGCAAAATAAGGCGTATTGGAGCTCCACTTCAACTGAAAGGAAAAAAAAATAAAAAAGAGTAAGACATACACTGAAATAACCACCTCTAAAACTCAAAGGGCTCAGCCTCTCACACCAAATTAGAATTATTTTTCCAACTTACAAGCAGAAAAAAATTAACTAAAAATGATTTTTTTCTGCCTACTAATTTGTCTTGAGAAAACAATAGCACATTTACTCCTTCTCATTAACTGCTTCATTCCCCCTTGAAGGCAAACCATAAAACTTCTGCAGATAGAGTTTTACTTAAAAAAAAAATATTCTCATTGTTTGCATATGAAAGAGTGTGGGCCTATAGTGGCACATGCCTTTAATCCCAGCACTGGGGAGGCAGAGGAAGATGGATCTCTGTGAGTGTGACGACAGCCTGGTCCAGAAAGTGAGATCCAGGGAAGCCAAGGATACACAGAAAAATACTCTCTAAAAACCAAACTATAAAACAAAACAATCAAACAAAACAAAAAAAGCAAAAAACCCCAAACCCCCCAAACAAAACAAAACAAACAAACAGACAAAAAGAATGCATATTTTAAGTCATTGGTCTTGAGTATGTGGTTGGGTAGGGACCTCCTTCTCCAGGAATTCCCTTTGTCTTCCTCTCTTTGGGTTTGGCTGCAGCTCTTAGGCCAAGGAGCTCAGGGTGAGGGATGGATACCTGGGGCCATAGTGCCCCAGAAATCTCCCTGACCCCGCACCATTTTCAGAAGGCACTGTCCCCCGAGGCTAACCCTTGGCTTACGTGGCACAGTGGCATTTACTGGCTCTGCACACTGAGGCAGTGTACGTCATCTTTCCCCTTGGTGTCATAGCCAGGCAAGGGCTGTCCATACTTGTCCACACACCAGCAGAAGCCCCGCTTTCTGCCTTTGGATGGGCGGCACTGAGGGAGGGAGAGACAAGATCAGGACATGAATATCATGCATATTGGTTAGTTTCATGTCAATTTGACACAAGCTAAAGTCATCTGGGAGGAGGAAAATGTCCCCACCAGACTGTCAAGTGGATGAACCTGCAATGTGATGCAGATGCATTTTCTTGATTGATGATTGATGTGGAAGAGCCTAGCTCTGTGGACAGGGCCACTTCTTGGCACTGGGTACTGTGTGCTGTAAGACAGCAGGCTGGGCAAGCCATGGGTAGCAAGGCAGTGAGCAGTTCTCTTCCATGGCCTCTGTTGCAGTTCCTGCCAGAACTTTCTTCAGGGATGGACCATGATATGAAAGTGTAAGGGAAATACACCCTTTCCTTCATAAGCTGCTTTTAGCCAAGATCCTTTGCATAGCAATGGAAACCTGAACCAAGACACCATGTGTAAGTGGATAACCAGGGTCCAAAGTAGTCACCCAACGTTGTTTATCAGGGCAGAGGTAAAATATGATAGTCACAGCTCCTGAAGAGCTGTGTAGGTGGTGGTGTATATCCATGCATACCCGTGTGTTCTGTGACCTCTCTGGGGAAGTTGGAGGGTCTGCTAAGCTTTCTTTGCTTAGTGGCTGTCAGGCTGATCTCACAGACCTAAGGTCTAGCCTCATGTTAGGTGTAAATGTGCTGAGCTAGTCAATGGACTGTTTAGACACTCAGGCTCCCTGGTAGAGACTACCCTCTAGACACTGGGATGTTGACAAGCTGTGCTGAGCACTGTTTACATCTGTCTCCTAGGTTCATGCTGTGAACCATCCAATCAGAAAGCACCCAAAACGTCGCCATTAGGTGATGCATATGTGATTCAGAAGAGGGGACACTGAGCTGGCAGAGAGCCATACTGGCTGGGGTTCCTGGAGATAACTGTGCGGCTGGTTCCCCACTGAGCCAATGGAGAAAGGAGGCAGAGACACCCTGGGAATCCCACTCACCTGCTTCTTCTTATAGAATCCCTTCTTGTCACAGTTTGGGATGTGGACACCTCTGGGACTTAAGACATTGAGGAACTTCAGATGATTGAGTGTGTCTTCCATTTCTCTGCGGCAGGGGCCCTGAGGACACAGTTATTGTTTTGACAATCTCCCAATGGCCACAGGACCATCCCAGGTTCCTCCTGTGACATGTCTCTCCAGGACATTCTGCTTGGGTCAGTGAGAGGGTCCCAGGAGGATGCTAGCCATTACTTCCTGTCTCTTCTGCTTTCTCAAGGTAAAATAGGGGGCCTAAGAATAGGCCAGCAGGCTTTGGAAAGTCTGCTGAATAAAATAAAGCCATCTGCGGGAAGTCTGTTTCTTTACCTGTGGGGCCCACCACGCGTTACTCAGTGCAATTCTGAGACTCTGACACAGGAGGTGGGACTTGACATAGAAATAAAGAAGCTGCCCATTCAACAGCTAGGACCCTTGGGACTGCTGCATGAAGGTTGACTTGGGGTGTTTCCTTTGCCCTCCGCCCCCAACAAGAGGAAAAGTTCTCACGTATTCTGTCTCCCGCTTAGACTCAGAGGAGAAGTTCTGTGTGTCTGTGCTCTGTGACTCATAGTCAACTTTGTAACGCTGGCTGTCCCTGGCATGGCCTTTTTTGATGACATCCATCTTTGCATGGAGTGGATGGAACTTGGAATCAGTCACTCGGTGTGTGCTGGGGACAGCCTGGCTTTCCACACTCCCAGCACTGTGGTCCTCCTCAGACTCACTAGCGTTTCCTGGAAAAGAACATGGGGATAAAGATATGATCATCAGTGGCAATGGAATAATAATTTGCAGAGCCACATCATACCTAAAAGGCAATGGCATCCAATAGTTCTTAATCATCTAAGAAAAAGGTATCTAAATAAAGCATTCTAGAATACTGCCTGTTGCACTCCTACGGCTTTGCTTCAGGAACCCATCTGTTTGAGTGTTGCTCTGCCAGGTGTTTCTACTACACAGCTGCAAGTGAAGGCAAACAGACACCAATCAAGCCCTTGAACAGATGAAAAAGCTGTCAGTTTCACTTGCCACAGGCAGGGGGCAGTCGTGCACCACATAATGCTGCCATGGAGCAGACCAGAAAACTTGTAAGAGATTCCAAAGTCTTCTCAGGCCTGGGCACAGCTGTTGGGGGTGGGACAACACGGGGGGGGGGGGGGGGGAGAGAGAAACACAACTCGACGACGACGACTCCACCTGGTGGTCACAGCACACTGGCTGGGGATTCTGACATTCCCTTGGGTTTGCTGTGTGCTCTGGAATCTCACTTCAGGGACCTACAGAACCATGGGGACACGTACATCTTTCAATTTCAAGCTCCACACAGACTTCGTGTATTGCATAGGAGGCGCACCTTCTTGGATGAACCTTTCCCATTCCCTCAGTAGTGAGCAGACAGAATAAAGATAGCAAGCACCAAGGGGCTGCCCATAGCTTAGACCTAAGACTTGCGGGGGGTGGGGGGGTGGGGGTGAGGGGAGGGGACAAGAAAGCCTCCTTTTGGCAGGGGCCCTTTTCACAATCCAAGGTGCTGATACTGATGCTGGAAGGTTAATAGATTGATTGTGACCTTATGTATGTGACTCGAGTTGTGGCTAGACAGAAAGCCAAAGCCAGATGATCAGACCCCTGTGCCCAGCTCTGAATTCCAAAGCTTCAGGGTCAACTTTCAGGTCATGGCCAGAATTCCTTCCCTCCTATGACAGGGACATTAACAACCCTCCTAACAGGAAGGTTCAGTTGGCTATCCATCTGGTTCCGAATTTATTCTGTCTGGGTGCAAGGTACAAGGCTCCAGCTGGCCTTTTTTTTTTTGCCTCTCAGGAAATGCCAGGCTGGGGCATCCTGCCCATGGGGAAGACATGGATCTCTGGTTCTAGGCCAAGAGAAGCAAACGCTTTACTCCCTGGGAGCTGACAGCCGCTGCAGAATCTGATGTCATTTAGAGTAACTGACCTTCAGGACCCCAGGGAGGCCCTCTTGCTCTGGAGCCTCAGTTTCCCACCTACCAAATAGCTCCCCGAGTCCAACTGCAAATCCCTCAATGAATCTGTGTCTTTTGAAGCACAAATTCCCAGAGTCATGACCAGCACCTGGCAGAGGAGGTACATAAAGAAATTCACGAGCTTGGTTTGTATTTGCTTTAATCTTAGTGAGTTTTCTTTTTGGAAGTACAGGGAATGCTAATAGGTAAATAAAAACATTTGTCCTCCAAGAAGCTGAAGTATTTTCTTAAACTTCCTTTGTTTGCTTGTTTTAGCTTATTTGTTACCCTTAGACCGCTGATTGGGGGGGGGGTATGGTTCAACTAAAGAAGGTAATTGTGAATTGTGTCTTAGAACTGTCATTCCTTCCCTCCTCCCAGTGGAGGTAGAAGCTCACATCAATTTATACTATAACACTTCAATGGTGGTTACTAATAATGGCCACCAACTCAAGGCTAACTCAAAATGGCATGTTGGTATTTCCTAGGATCGCTTCTGGGAAACCACAGCATATTCACACTAGAAATCAAAGACACACAAGGCAAACAGCCTAATTTTGCTTTTGACTGAGTCGGCGAAATAACTGGAGTCTTGCTTTACTAGGAATCTGGTGCTTTTCAGGGATGAATAAACCAGGACCTGCCTGTATCCAGGAGTGTAGCTCTGCAGCCACAGAAGTCATAAAGGGACAGTCGGTGCAGCTAGCCCTGGTCCCAGGGGTCTGCTCTGGACCATCTGCTTGCCTGCTGTGGGGATGCCCGAGAATTCTAGCCTTCATTTGTGCTGGGCAAGAACTTGACTCACATAACAAAGCTGAAACTGGCTAGGAAATGTTGGACATTTCGAGCTAGCTGCCAAATCCATTTAAATCTTTTTATTTTTTCTTTTCATTTCAAGGGAATAACGCTATGCCCTTAGAATGGCCGCCTGATTGATAGGACCAGCTCCAGGAAGGGTATGTCAAGCATTTGCGATTTTCCTCCCTGCACCCCACTCCTTCTGCATTGTCTTAGGAAGGGAGAACATTCCTGGGTAGCATTTCTAGTTTCTGCTTCAGCAGGGAAATAGCCTGGATCTGCACTGCCTGTACCCCACGCACCTGGGACTTGATCACCGAGCCCGCAGGCGCCACAGGGCGTGGGATGCTGCCTATGGGGTAAATTGGGTTCAAACCCCGTTGCAGCTCCCAGTGACTTTGAGCAGTTTCTGCTTTTTGAACTTTAGGTAACACACCTCAAAGACACCAGTACTGTAATCCCATCTCCTTAATTTTTGGATAAACGGGGGCACAACACTGCTTTGCAAGTCAGCTCGTGCAATTGTTAGTATTTTTCAAGACAGATGCCTGCCAACAAAACTTCCTAGCCCCGATAGCATCCCGGATTCCCATGCTAAAGCTCCCCTGGGACAGACACGCACCTTCCCAATTGTGGAGAATGGAAACCCAGGTCTACAGTTGGGCTACACAGCCCAAACCCAGGCATCCACGCTCAGTGAGACTCTCTAATGACCGGGATCCTGCCACGGAAATCTACCCATTTTCACGGAAAGCATTTTGCATCTTACAAGAAAGTTGCACTTTGAGAACCAAGCGAGTGGAGCTGCAGGGTCCCCTTCGTCTCCCAAGACCCCTCTCACCACTAACACCTTCTGGATGAGCCACGCCAAGCCTCTGAAGCCACAGGTCCTGCCTCCCCGCCACCCGCGCCGGGTCCCAGGGAGTGCGCTCGGCGCACGTGGTGCGAGCGGCTTACCTGGAGCGGGTTGGGAGGGCAGGTAGGCGCTCAGGCTGCCGGCGGCGCTGGCGTTGGCGCAGAACCCGCGGCCATTGAGCAGCGCCTTCAGCGGGTACTGTTCCGCGGGCCGTGGCTGGCAGCGGAGGCCGGTGCCGCAGCGCTCGGTGTAGACGCCGCACGCGTCGCCTTCGCGCAGCGCGCAAGTCAAGCAGCAGCCGCAGCCCGGTTCTCGCACCAGCTCGGTGCACGCGGGCGCGGTGGGCGGAGGCGCGCACTGGGCCAGCGCACGCGCGTCGCACGGTTCGCAGCGCACCACGGGGCCCGCGCCCACCGCGCCCGCGCCGGCCCGCGCCACCGGCGGCCCGCGAAGCAGAGTGAGTGCGGTGAGCGCAGCCGCCCAGAGCGCAGGGCGCGCGGGATGCATGGCGGGCGGAGGGCGTGCGGCTCGGCGGAGGGGAGCGGAGTGGAGCACGCGGGACGAGGCTGCGGGATGTGAGGAGCGAGCAGCAGGTCTTCAGTGTCTGGTAGCCGCGCTAGCTCGCATCTGGGCAGCCCGGGCGAGCAGGCCGATATATAGAAGCCGGGGTGGCGGAGGACACGCCCCGGAACGGCGAGGGTGGGGGGCGGGGTGGGCCGGCGCAGGCTCGGCTGCCCCGCGCCTCCCCGGGAAGCGGGACCAAGGACGGGGGCGCGCTGCGCGCGTCTTCACTGGGCACCTGCTCCATGTGCGCACGCCCTGTACTCGGGCCACCCCTTAGTCCCCGGGAACGGTGGGCGCTCCCGGTCACCTTGCTGTCTCTTGAGTCCCAAGGTCTCTAATTTCCCCCAATGGAGTGATAGCCAGCCAACTTGGCGCCCCCGGACCCTGCAGCCCCTCCCCCTGAATGCCGGGTTTAGGTGGCCCTTCTGAACTGATTTACATCTGGGAAGCTGGCGCGGGCTCTTTCAACTCCCGTGTACTTTGCAAAGTTTCTGCAATTGAATGCCTCATGTAGAGCATGTTGCACTTCCCAGAGATGAGCGGATCATATTTAAATCTGCACAGTTGGCTACTTGAGCCTCCGGAGTCTCGCACCTAACAGTCGAACGTGACAGTCGTGAGTTCTAAAGATTTGCTTTTCAAAGCCGTCCTGACTCAAATACTCTTACTTAGCTGCACGTCTCCAGTTAGCCGAAAGGGCAGTGCGTCCTTACAGGAAGGCAAAAGAAAAGAAAAGTTCCACCGGTTCTTATTTGGGGATTCCTTTTAGTTAGCGGTTATGTCTCCGGAGACACTGAAGCGGTTGCCACTGAAACATGATTAATAGCCAAGCAACTCCTAAAACGAGTAATTTTCATTTTTTTAAAGTCACCGTCGCACGCCTGTATTAAACTCTTTCTGACACATCCCAGTGCAGGCTGGAGTCCTTGCTAACCCACGCACTCTGAACACCGCTGAGAGTTGAAATCCTGGAGCAATAGTGCTCTTGAGTTCTCAGCTATCTACTTTCTCTTGTGTGGGTCTCTCCAAAGTGTACACGCTCCTTCCGTAGGTGACCAACAGAGGACGCTGGTGGTCCAGGATTGAATGGACAAACCAAGACTCCCTTTCTCTCCCTTTTTAAAATAGTTTGTGGATGAGCGGTGGGAACTTGTGAGACCGACTTGGAAGGAGACTTTCGTGGATGCCCTTGAAATGACTGTTTACAACAGGGGCTGGAGAGGTTGTCTTTGGGGAGACCGATGCAATTTTATGTAGAAAGCAAGCTAAGAGGACTTCCCACATATCCCTTCGCCCACTCTACAGCTAGCTCCTAGTGAAGTTGGCATTCATCCACAGAGTGTCTTTATGCCTCTCCTGTAACTCTTTTATTTTAATTTTAGTTAAACTTCACTCTCATTATTAATGCTAACATTTGAGCTTTTACAAAGGAAAGAAAAAAAAAATCGAAGATCAGAAACGTGAAGGCCTGGTAGCTGGTCAAGGCATAGCACCTCAATTTTCACATTATACCTTCCTCATAGTACTCAGGTTATTGCTAGACTTAACATTGTCTGCCCAAAGCTACCCCGATCGTCCCTCCTTTTCTCCAGTGTATTAACACCCAAGAATAGGACCTCTGATTCCATTAGAAGATTAAAAGAAAACATAATAAATCCCCCAGGGTTACAGCTGTTCTTTAAATAACCACTGAGACCTTGACTCCAAAATTAGAACAAGGTTCAGTATCAAAAATGATTCGAGACTCGGCAGGCCTCCCTCCCCTCTGTTTGGTACAATGTTACACACAGATGCTGTCTGGTCGTAGTCAGTGTGGCACTTTTACTCAGCTTTATCATCAGGCTAGGAGGCAGGGGCGCCTAGAAGGAATGGCTTCTTGGAAAAGATAAAAAGTCATTAGCTTGGTTCTCTTTACAATGAAGGAGCCCTGCCATCCCCTTGCAGTTTGAGAAATGGGCTTTTGTTCCAAGTGGGACTCCTAGGGGGCGCCAAAGCACCAGGTCTCCACTTCTATTCAAAGGCAGTGCAGAGTTCTCACAGGATGGCTTCCTGTTAGTGTTTTATGAGGACTGTCATCAGCTGTATCATGACATCTTGCACCAGTCAAGCACATTAGTGGCACTAACACGGTGAGAATTTTGCTTTAGTATTTAGCTGTCTTCTTTTGACAAAATTTCAGGGCACCCCTCCTCTGAAAATAATTATTGCAGGAAGGATGGCAGAAAATATAATTTTACCACATGCTAGTTAATTATGTCAAACTTTAAAACTGGTGTTGGTGGCTATGAATGTAACGTGCAGTGGGGAAGACGTGTTCCTCTCTTGTAAAGGTATTTGGCGTTCAATTGTGAATGACAATGGCCAGGACTCTCGCCATCTCTGAACAGAGCCCCACCCACTCACCTGGTTATAATTAGAGATCCCTGCTACCAGCTGCTTAATTTACCCAATAGACACAAGCTCCTCATTGTCTGGAGCCCATCATCTTTAGTCGGGCATCTTTGTGGGTGATGTTGGTATTTCCTCTTCTGCTCAGGGCTGGCCAAGTGCCTTAGAGTTTTATGTTGCTGTGAAGGGGAACACGTATTCCAGAAGAAATCATCAGAGACCAAAGGCTCATGGGTAGCATGGCCACAGAGAAAGCAGGGAGGACTCACAAGTGTGACGGTAGGTATTCCAACAGAGGGAGGACAGACCTGTTCAGGTGGCCAGGGCAAGTTTCAGAGGGGTGGTGGTATTTGAGTCTCACAGAACAGAGAGACTGGCAGAGGAAGAATAGGAATGCTTTGTGTATTCTTGGAGCGCTGGCTCTCAACCTGTGGGTCTGGACTCCTTTGGGGGTCAAATGACCCTTTCATAGGGTCAGGTAAGACCTTAGGAAAATACAGATATTTACATTATAACTCATAATGGTAGCAAAATTACAGTTATGAAGTAGCAACAAAAACCATTTTATGGTTAGGGGTCACCACAACGGGAAGTGTTGTATTAAAGGGTGGCAGCATTAGGAAGATTGAGAACCACTGTTTTAGAGAGTTGCTTTGTCCAGATGGGATGGGCTGAGAGTTGGCTTTGGCAAGTATACATTGGGCATTCTGAAGTGTGGAAGAGAGGTGGCTGGATAGAATGGAATGGAGAAGATGGCATTGGAAATCCAGATCCCAGGGGTTGGGGATGCTCAGAGGCAGTGCTGTCTGGTTTGACAACATGGAGGTGGATGACAGCTTCTGGAGAGAAGGCAGAGACACATTCTGTAGAAAAGACTTCTGGGGAACTCCCTTTCTGGGAAGGTGCTTCTGCTTAGTATAGTAATGTCTTGGAAGTGAGGTTTTCTCCCCCAGAAGCTTTCTACTCAGACACCCACATAGTGCCCATGTAACCTATTCAGGAGACAACTGTCTATTTCCCTCCAGTAGATAAAGACAGTTCCTGTCTGCTTTACATCTCACTGACAATCAAAGGTCACAATGTCAGGAATAGTAAGAAAGGCTGGGAATGGTTCAGATGATACATGAAGGTACTGCCAGGTCCTTTCCTTCCTTACTGGCTTTCTGATATAAGTTGAGTTGCAAACCTTGTGTATAGGATGAAATAGATCCATGATGTTTGTAGAAGGAATGACTCTTAGATATATGCTTCCTGGTGGATGGGAACTCAGCGTTTATTTGTGTGTTTGCTTAGTCACCTGAACAAATCTTAAATGTGAAGTTTTGTCCTCCAGTAGCTGTGTGCCAGCTCACAGCCCAGATGCCTTGTCTCCTTGTTCTAAATGACAACCTGCTTATATTTGATGTTCCCAGCTTGCTGGCACAGTGCATGTGGCCGTCACACTGACACGAATATCACAGGTTCTTCCCTTGGTCAATGGATCTAGAAGCAAAGACAATTGGAGAGCATCTTTCATCCAGTTGGTTTGCCCCTAGAATCGGTTCCTCCCCTAGAGTTTCAGGGGCCTGTTTCTCTCTCTCTCTCCCTCCCTCTCTCTCTCTCTCTCTCTCTCTCTCTCTCTCTCTCTCTCTCCTTCTCTTTCTCCCCCTTTCTTTTTGCTGGGCTTCCTAGAGCACAAATCTCAGATTCCACAGTCCATTCTCCACCTCATTGTTGTTTGGTAAGTAAACAATTTTTTTCCTGCTAAAATATAACCAACACAGATGACAGAATTGAAGAGTGCATTCTGACATGTTTTGACTTATGTGACATTCACATGGCATTTTTGAAGTTGTTCTTCTGATTTCTACCTTTATTCCATTGTGACCTAATAGGGCTCCCTCCCTCCCTCTCTGTCTCTCCCTCCCTCCCTTCCTCCCTCCCTCTGTCTCTCCCTCCCTCCCTTCCTCCCTCCCTCTCTCTGTCTCTCCCTCCCTCCCTCACCTTTCCTCCCTCCCTCTCTCTCCATCTCTCTCTGTCTCTCCCTCCCTCCCTTCCTCCCTCCCTCTCTCTGTCTCTCCCTCCCTCCCTCCCTCTCCTTTCCTCCCTCCCTCTCTCTCCATCTCTCTCTGTCTCTCCCTCCCTCCCTCTCTCTCTGTCTCTCCCTCCCTCCCTCCCTCTCTCTGTCTCTCCCTCCCTCCCCCCTCTCCCTCCCTCCCTCCTGTTAAGGCTTCTCTCATAGCCTATGTTGGGCTCAGTTTTGGAGGTTTCATTCACTGCTGAAAAAAATGTGTTCTCCCAATTTGTCAGATAAAATATCCTGCAGACATTGTTAAATCCAGTTGACTTGTGATGTAAATTAGCTCTGAGGTTTCTCTGCTGATTTTAGATTTGGAAGAAGTATCTAAATATCAGCAGGACACTGACATTTTCCACTTCAGTTGTGTCAGGAACCATGTGATCTTTTATGCCTTGTAGTGAAATCGGGAGCTTTGATACTCTGAATAGACATTTATAACTGTTGTAATTTTTATCCCATCACTCCATTTATTAATATGTAGTGGTCTTCTTTATCTCTTCTGATTAGCTTTAGTTTGAGGTCTCTTTTATCACACACAAGAAGAACTGTGCCTGCTTGTTTCTGGCTTCCATTCCCTTTCCAATTTGATTTCTACTTTTTAGACACC